TGGGTCACTTCTTGCTCCTTGCGTCAAGGTGTTTTCAGCCAGTTTTAATGCGTGCTAAGTTGTATTTAGACGTCATTGGCAGTCTAAGCAGGCTGCTGCAGCTGTGTCAGACACTACGGAGCAAGAAAAGGGGCGGATCAGAGTGTAGTTTCTAGACTCACCCCACGTGCTGCCTGCACCTTGCCGAATCTGCAAAAGAAGAAGGCGAGAGCCGTGTTTGCGATGTTGCTGCTGGTGGTATCCTTGTCCAGCTTATAGGCGAGAGCCGTGTTTGCGATGTTGCTGCTGGTGGTATCCTTGTCCAGCTTATATATCGCAAGATGCAACAGAACCGGCAGGGCAACTTCGGGGCTCTCGTGCAAGGCCTGTTGTATGCGTAGTTTCATAAACTCATCTATTCACAAGCACAAACAACTGCCTCTAGACTTGCTTCGAGTTAATGCCAAAATGCTGGTTCTAAAACTCGTCATTGACCTTAAATGAGGATGGACAAATTGATAAGTAGAAATGAATGGAATCTGAAAGAGAACATTGTAACCATAGCAGCTAGAGGCGGCAGCAAATAGGAAACATAATATTACGATTATATACAATAATAATAATATGTTCCTTCGTACAGAACTTCGGCAAAGGAGGCACGAAAACATTTCCTGGTGACCCCCCCCCCTCTGCGCCACAGGGAAATGAGCCGACCCTTGTATTTTTTAGCCTTATGTCGTTGCTACGAAACGATATACTTCTCAACGATTGGTTTTTCACTACTAGCCAGCTAACAGCCACTTTCAATGTCATTTTCACAGTTTGTATCATCTGCACGCCTCAGGTCACAAATCAGCTCCATTTGCAAAATTTTACTGAAGTATTCTTTCTTGCGCCTTTTAGAGATTTTCGTCGTCTGAGTTCACCTGCCTGCAATGGCTCCCGTAACCTCTGGTGTTCCCATTCAACTGCTAGTTACTATGCCCAAACCCCACACTTCTTGGCACATAACTGCTTTAAAAAGTAAGCTGGAGGGTTCACATGTTCGTGCTAGATTTCTTGGGATATTTTCACCCCAATAACCGCAATAAGGGTTGCATGCAGCGTCCAGCATGGCCAATGTAACAGGCAGACAACGCCGCGCCGGGATGTTGAACTAGAGCTTGCAGCGCAAAGGAGATAGATGACTTTTACAATCATTTGGGAGGCTATTCTTCATCTTTTGCAAAGAGGGAAGCCAATGTTTGTTTCGACGAAAAGCCAATTTTTTGAGCTGCGATCGGCGTGCTTGTAACAGAGGCGGTGCAGCCTGTGTGTGACCAATGGGCCGTAGGTATACCCGTAGGTATCCTCTTGTTTGGATTGGAAGCAATTGTTAAAATGTCCATTATAGCGTTTATGCCAACTAGAATTGTGCGAAATATGCCATTTAAAGTAATAGGTAACTACAGTAGCTTGTTCAGCGGAATCGACGAAACGCACCAGTGGTAGAGAGGGCGGGCTATCGGCTCCTTTCACTATTTGCATCCCATCTCCCTCCTTCAATGACCTTTCCAAAATCAATCTCCTAATTTATCTTTTTGGTTTTCTTGTTTATTTGACAGATCACGGTTGCAGATTCAACGCAGACCACAGAGAGAGAGCTCGACGCCATGGGCATGCAGGGCTGCCTACTGCGGATTCTGCGATTTGTTTAACTGCAAGTGTGCAGAGATAAGGTTAAAAAGCTTCTTCTTTTATTCTTTGCTATTTTTAGAAGGAGGTTTAAATGGGTCAAGCCGACGCATTCATCAACGTCGTTCCTGCGAGACGAACGGCTGGTTGCGATCTGCAATCGGAAACGACGGACGGGATTGTAAAGCCAGCAGCCAATAGCAATTGAACGGAAAGAAGAAGAAGTTGTTTACGTATTAAGCAGTTTCATTCCTTTTGTTCAGCATCTATCAATGCTTAGGCTCTTTCTTTGGAAGAGGATGCAGCGAAAATCTGCTGCCGCTGCATTGTGCGGCTTGACTTTTAGGTGCTGAATTGTGCATTTTATTCCCTTCCTCCTAGACCTCAGGATACGTCTGAGAATACACCTTACAATAGTCCCTCTTATTCTTCTATTTTGCTCAATTTCCCCTCATCTTGCCCAATGTCAAGTTGTATAATCGCCTCAACTCCAGCAACTCTTAAGTTCTGCTTCCTATAACAGGTTTACACCCCGGGCACTAACCACTAGACCCTGGGTACCTCCAACATACAACTGCTTTAAGCTTCCTCTGCTGGATGAAGACAGTAGAGAACATGGCAACGAAACAGCAGTCGACCGTGGCCAAGGCCGACGCGCCTCATGAAAAATACTTCCGCTACCACTCGGCCGTCATTCCAGTTGGATTGGGAACAGATCGCCAGCAGGTAAATCCTGAAAAACAGGCAGAGAGCAAGCATGTACACATGAATGCATGGGTACTGTCAATATCGCTGCTCTACCATGCATGCATGACGAATACCAGTCTTATCTCGTACGTGCATGATATATGCCAAGCCCTCCTTCATGCATGAAAGTTGAATACAGGCATTTGAAGGTCCTTCATATGTTGTTGGCCATTTTTGTGTCTTTTTTCGTAGATTGCCGAGGCATTACCCCAGACAATCCTTGTTATAAAACCATTGGTTTGTTTTTGTTTGTTTTTTCCTATCCGCAGGCCCTGCGATGCTGGACCTCGAAAAGCCCTGCAGTGGCAGCTAATCCTTCTCTTTTGTTTTCCTTGTGCGTGATTCGCCCTGGTTCTACGAGCGAAAAATATGTGTTGGAACAGCTAGATCCTCCGTCGAAAGAAATGTTTGAGGTGGATCCAGATGCCGTTTTGAATGCAAATAGCGAAGAAGACGAGTTAGCTGCTTCTGACATTGGCTTGTTAAGCCACAAGAACGTAGCCTGTGTGCTGTCTATGCTGAAGACCCGATACCTAGCAGCAAAAATGTACACGATGGCGGACCCCTTGTTGGTTGCAATTAATCCTTTTCAAGACCTCGGCAACGCTACAAAAGAATGGATTGACTACTACAGAAATGCCCCTAGCACTGCTCAGACAGAACCGCATGTGTTCAGAGTTGCCCGGCAAGCACTTGCAAACTTGGAGGACTATAATAAGAGCCAAACTATCATTGTTTCAGGAGAATCGGGTGCTGGAAAGACAGAAGCTACCAAACAAGTCATGAGATACTTCGCTGCAGCGAGCAAAGGCAACAACAGAATCCAAGAGGCAATCATGGCTGGCAATCCCCTACTTGAGGCTTTTGGAAACGCAAAAACTATTCGAAATAACAACTCTAGTCGCTTTGGCAGGTTCATGCAGCTTTCACTCTCTAGCGAATCCGGTATTCAATACGGTGCCATCACCAACTTTCTTCTTGAGAAAGTGCGGCTGGTGTCTCAAGAACCTGGCGAACGTTCCTTTCACGTGCTGTACCAACTCTTGAAAGGAGCAGATGATGAAATGAGGCAAAGGTTACACCTCCGGCCCATAGACCAATACACCTTTTTGACAGCGCGGAGCGGCGGATGCTTCGATATTGAAGGAGTAGATGACAGAAGCGATTTTCAAGAACTGCGGGAATCGTTTGTATCTATGGGTCTTCCTTCAGAAGACGAGTCAACCGTTTTTTCAATTTTGTCCGGTGTTCTGCTCATTGGTAACACGAAAGTAGCTTCTCTTGAAAAACAAGGAATGCCTGATGCGGCGCATGTGACGGGTGAGTCGTTGGCGGTTCTCAAGGAATCAGCAAGTCTGCTGTTTGTCGATCCTGACAAATTGGCTCAGAACATTCTTAGAAAACAAACAAAAGTGGGAAACCAGCTGCTGGAGGGACCGAGGACATACAGAGAGGCAGATATGATGATAAAGTCCGTCGCTAAACACGTATACGACCAGCTATTTGCGTGGTTGGTTCGTTTTCTGAACAAGACCATTGCGCCTCCCGGGGGGTTCGGAGTGTATATGGGCATGCTAGATATCTTTGGTTTTGAAGTCTTTGAGCACAACTCCCTAGAACAGCTGTTAATTAACATCACCAACGAACACTTGCAGAAACATTTTATCGACGTCATCTTCGAAACTGAAACCAAACTCTACAAAAGTGAAGGAATTCCTACAGAAGCCCTAGTCTGGACGGATAATGCAGAAATCATGGACACCCTCTGCGGCCCTAGAGATTCTGTTTTTGCAATTATTGAAGACATCTGTCTCGGTCTCCGCGCCAGTGATGAAGTGCGTTTCGTGTATTTTGAATGTAGAGGCATTGAATAAGCATGTTACAACTTTAGGAGCAGATAATATCCTTCTTGTGTATTGTCGGAAGGACATTTGAGGGTATTGTTTGTGCTGTTTCGGTTTTGGTCCGTTTCATGTTGAATTCCCTAATAACGGAGGCCCGGGTTTTTTTTCCACTGCGTATTCGCACACCACCACTGCAATGGTTCTTCCAGCAGTTTGTCTTATATAATTTCTTGGATGTGTGTGGCTATGTAACTTTTCTTCTGGTCCGTTTGTTTCTCGCAGGCTTTGTGCGGAATGATTGTACGCAAGTTGGGAGGCAAAGGTGTCGTACTCCCTTCGCGGCGCGACCAGCGGATAAAGTTTGTGGTTCGTCACACGATTGCAGATATTGAGTATTCCTGTGATGGCTTTCTTGAGAAAAACCAGGATATATTAAAGAAGGAACTCGTGGACGTCCTCAAGGCCTCGTCGAATCGCGTAATGGCGGAAATGTTCGAAGGTATTGTCGTCGAAGCAGGAAAAATCGGAAGAGGGTCCCTCATTGCCTCGCAGTTTCTGCGATCTTTAAATTCAATGATTGGACTGATAAGGGTATATTTCGACTCAGATACGCAGACCTAAACAGTCTAGAGTATACATCCCCGTCCTAACAGGTTTATTAGATGCTTCCGTGTAGAGAGAGAGCGAGAGAGGAGTGTGTGCAAAGTCGTGGGTTCCAGGGTTTGGATATTGGGATGTATTTTCTGTTTATTGTTGGCGCAGCAAACAGAACCCCATTTCATTCGCTGTTTGAAGCCGAACGAGACAAAGAGGCCCCTCGAGTGGGAGGGTCCCAAGGTGCTGAATCAGCTATTCTCTTTGTCTATTCTTGAGGCACTCCAGCTGCGGCAGATTGGGTATTCTTACAGGCGGCCTTTCGCAGAATTCGTCAAGAGGTTTCGTTGGCTTGAACTAGGGGCAGCGAATTCCAATGCAGATCGGAAAGAAGTGGCGCTGCAAATGCTGCAGGCATCCGGCCTCCCAGAAGACGAATGGGCTGTGAGGACACAAAAGAAATTGCATGGATTATATGCACGTAATGGGTCACCAACATACACGTGTATGCATGTATGCGTGCATGGTGAACGAGGCTGAGCACAAATGTCTCTCTCTCTTATTTGTTGTTCCTTATTTGTTCTTCAGCTTGGCAAGACGATGGTGTTTCTGAAAGCTGAAGCGGCTCGTGCACTCGAACGCATGCAAACAGAGAAGATGATGTCTTTGCGGCCAATCGTCGAATTCGTGGAAGCCGCATACAGACGAATCTCTCTCAAGAGAAATCTGGAGGCCGTTCTTCCTGCTCTCATAAGGGCAGAGGCCCATTGTCGCCGGTACGTGCTGTTTCCTGCACATGCATTATTATATCGCCACGTTTTCTCTTGTGCGCATGCATGCCTGCATGCATGCGCACAAGGGAAAAGCCTGGAGGTATAATATTAACGAAGGAGACTTCGCCCTGTAAAGGCAGGAGTCTCCTCTTTTCGCACAGGCATGCGTGTCTGCATGTGTTTAGTGAGCGGGGGTGGAACAGCATGTGCACTTGCGTGCACTCGGCTGCTTCATTTAACTGGACAGGGTGTTGTCGTATCCTCTGTTTTGTTGTGTTTGCAGGCAGGCGACTCTTGTAGAGTACGGAGCCCTGGACTTGCCTCCTGGCTTTACAGAGGCATTGCTGCAGGGCATTGACTACACTCAGCAGCAGAAGGAACAGAGGGAAAGGGAAAGACAGGAAAGGGAACAGATGGCCAACGAACGCCTGGGACACAGGAAACTGACAAAAGAAAAAAAATTTGCTATGCAAGTCCTTCAGATGTACAAGTCATGGGACAGCATGAGGGGCCTCGAAACCAAACACGAAGGTTTCTTTCCTTCAGAGCTTGATTACCTGAAAGAAAAGCAAAAGCGACCAGCAATCGAAAGCAGAATCAAAGAAAAATGTAAGTTAGAGGGACGCTCCATACAGCCAGATGCGGGTTAACAAAGTAATCGGCCGTTACAAAAACGACTTTGTTTGCTCTCTCTTTGTAACAACGATAACCCCTACTGTTTTTGTTTGGTATCATACACAGGCATAACGTTTCTTGATGTATTCCGGGAAAGGTTTTTCGATTTGTATGCATGCGCCCAACTTTCAACGGAGGGTTTTCGTTCTTGGTGATGTTGTGTTCGCTAACCTAAGTACGTGTAGTTGAATATTGTGAGGATACCGATGTTTTTGCTTGCTTCATTGTCGTTTTTGTTTTTCTTGCAGCGTTCTCGCACGTGACACGCCAACAGTCATTTCAAGATCCAGGGGTTTCATACCACTTGTGGAGAAACGTAGCAGCACTTTATCAGGCGCCTTTAAGTGACAATCGTCTGCAGAACATTTGCACCTGTTTGCGAGACGACATGGATCGGGTGTACGGCCACTTCTGGCAAGTGATTGTCAACAGAACAGAAGCCTTCGGCCTCGCCACTGCGCATGCAAAAACAAAACGGCATCTCATTGATCAACACGGAGTGTATAGGGATGGAAGGGTATTCTGCTTCAACAATATCATCTTCCAATGCGTTAAACCGTCTCCCAAAGGTGTTTCTACTTACTACACATCTCTATGAACAACAGCAAAGAATACGCGTTGATCACCTTTGCCTTCTGTGCTGCACCTTAGGAGGAGGGAGCCTCAACTCACTAAAGAACATCCCCAAAATATACTTTTTTCTCTTGTTATTTGTCACAAGAGTAAAACATTGTAGTTGTTCAGCCGTTAAGACCCTTTCGCTTGCTTGAGAGGGATTGGCGCGGCTCTAGCATACACCGCATGACCTCATTATAATTCGTATATTCAAGAATCTGCTTATTTGCTTTTTTGTTCATTTATCAGCACTTATATAAGTATTAACCCTTCGGGGGTTTGTGGGGCTTTGTTTTCTGTGTGTTGTGTTCAGAAATTAGAGCTCATGAAGAAGCAGCAGAGAAGTCTTATATCTACTGCAGGAGAAAGGACTTTTCTGGTAATTGCTGCTCCGTTAGTTGCAGCCTTTCAGTCTCGAAAGCCCCAATACACCAGTCCCTAAACCCTACTCCCTCACGCATATCTAAACGCTGGGACGGGAATCAAGATAGGGGGGCTGCTAAGCCGAAGAATTGGTGTCACTGCGTCAATCTCTATCCGTCAAACCCTAAACCGCAAGCCTTAACCGAGAAGATCTTGATATGCCTGAGGCATGTGCGTTGCAGGCATGGTGCGTGTGCGGAAGAGTTTAGTGCCTCCGTACATGCTACAAGACGTGTCGTATTTAATGGGGCATTTGTACCAGCGGTACAAAGACAGTAGAGACTGGACAGGGTTTGCTGAGCGTCTCCAATCATACCTCTTTGGCCGTTATGCCGATTCACATGGGGGCTCGTGGAACGTCTTAGTACAAGAAGGTTCTTTTGTTTCAACTCGCCTTTGGGTGAAACACAACCGTTTCTTTCGAGTGGAAATAGACGAAAACGAATTCAATGGAAACACTGAACAAAACAAGTGCATCACCATCGTCTGTTTCGAGGCGTGCACTACTGCCTCATGAGGCTGTGGTGGTGCCGGGGTGTATGTAAAACCCAGCATTAACAACAATATCGCTGCTGTAATTTCGTGTGTAAATTTCGTCACCTCTCGTCCTATGAGGGAAAGTACTATATTTAATTAGGCAATATGCATATGTAGGCACAAGTTCAAGCAGCGCGTCTTCTCAGCATTTAAGTGTACAGTGCATAACCAGCAACATGCCGGCGACGCAGCGGCGTTTTTTCTCTGGTGTATAAACAGCCGCCGTACTCGTCCGTCTATTCACCTCTCTTAAATTGAATCGGATTCCCCTGATTTTTATTCCTTTTTACCCAGGAGAGAAGAAGTGCGACGGGGTCTTTTTTTTTACGGAGATGTGAGCTTTTCGATCGTAGCAGCAGCAAACCAGTGGCAGCTGTCGAATAGGGTGAGAAGATATTGTATTTATTTTAATGAACTACCTCACGTATGAAACAAAGCGCAAGCTGCAGCTGAATACAATACAGCAAAAGTTGTATAACGTTTAGCCAATAAGCCCAACAATGCTGCAAGAGACGAGGTGCATCACATTCAAAGTGCCAGCCTGCTTTACATGCAGTACAGCACAGGATGATAAGTAATTAGCTTATTTATTTGCTTCATATTTCTGTCATCCGAGAAATACAAATTCAACACCAGCGGGGCACTACTGTAAAGCATGAAAAGGACCATTTGTTTATCTTCTAAAACTTACACTACTCCTTGTTTGAGGGTTGGTATTACTCTTATTCCTTATTAAACTTATTGCATACATCTCTAAGCTGTGGAAATGGTGCACAGATAGGCAAGTGTCTCTGTGAGCTCATTGAATTGATGCTGCACTGCCGCGTGCAGCTCAGCAAGGGAGCATACACCCAAAAGAGAAGCAACTTGAGAAGGATGTTAAAGAGTACAATTCTTTGACTATACAGTTGAAACGATCTTCATAAGCATATTTCTTTGATTATACCGTAGACAGAGATAGTTTAGTCTGTTGCCAAGAAACTCAGAAAGAAGGCGTTTCCTCCCACTTTCTTCTCGTAGAATGCCTCGGTATATTACTATAACCTTAAGGCAATGAACGCCCACACCTCTGCAGGTCTTTTCCCTCCTCCATGTGGGAACATTCAGTCACGAGGGAAGAAGCAGTGTATGCACAAACCATAAGCATGACCATGATTGTAAATATACACATTATATATATATATATATATATA